AAAAAGCTCATTAATTGCAAATTATTTCTTGTAATGGCAGTTTCTTCCAGAAGGGTTTCAATTCCTTAAGCAATTAGACAATTTGCAAATCTGTTTAAAGTGCATTGCCTGTAATGGTTAAATAAAAATAAAGACCTAACTGACTCAACATTAATGTTGCTAGGTTAAACAATTTAAATCTTAAAAATTGCATTTTACAGATGTTTGGAAAATCAGGCATTTCGAATGCGATTTGATTAGGATAAAATTGTTGTGTGATTAAAACCCATTTTCTATTTTTAGATAAGTCACAATTCATGTGAAGACAAATGAAACCAATCATAATACACCACATATACACAACAATGGAGCACATATACACTCTATAGTCCACATGTACACTCAATAGACCAAATATACACAACAATAGAGCACATATACACTCTATAGTCCACATCTACACTCAATAGACCACATATACACTGAATATGTGGTCTATTGAGTAGTGTATATCTATTGAAGGTGTATATCGGATTAATTGTTAATGTGGCAGATGCTATATTGGACAGATGAGATGTAACATCAGCATAAGACTAAAAGAACACCAAAGAAATATTAAACTGTCTCAAACACAACTGTCGGCAGTGGCAGAACATGCTTGTCAACAAGGACACTCAATTGATTTTGATAACGTTGAAGTGTTGTGTAAAACTAATTATTACTGGCAAAGACTAATTAGAGAATCCATTGAAATTGAGAGAAACAGAAATAAGTTTAATCGTTTTGATAGCTATAGGCTTAGTGCGGTTAGGAAGCGTATTATTAAATAATACATATTACAATTCCTTATAGGGGAAACACATACTAATTAACGGATTACTAATGTAGCATATAATCACAATAACACACATTACAACTAATTACTAATCTACAACTCATTACTAATCATAACCCTTGACTGATTACCAATCGATTATATAATTACTGGACCTGAAATGAGTTAAATGATGACGTCACCCTGCTGCTCTATTTAAGACCGGGAGCAAGTGAGGGCTTTACCATTCTGGCGAATTGCCCGATGATGATGGATGTAATTAGCAGCGAAACGTCGTATTCAAACTGTAAATGTTGTGGATTCACTCTTCAACACACCGGTGGGCTAAAGTAGTGAACTATTTGTCTTTTGTCAACGTGACACTTTTTTATGATTGGCCGTGTCGGGTGGTGGAGGGTTACGACACATTTATTAATAACGCGATCTAACCCAAAAACCTTTATTATGAATAATATTGGTCGCGAAAGCCTACGTGTTACACTGAATAGACCACATATACACAACAATGGAGCACATCTACACTCAATAGACCACATCTACACTCAATAGACCACATACATACCAAAGGAAACTATATGTATAAATCCTTGCTAAATGTATACCGCCATGCTAAATGCAAACGCTGCATACAATGTCAAGTGGCCTAAAAAAAGTAGCTCGCATTACATAACTACGAAATTGCATTTTGCGAGCCAAATAGCAGCTGATTATTACTTCTGCCATGGTGATCATAACGACTTTGTTCCCTGTGGCTGGCATTACCGAAAACTCAAAGTGGCTCCCTGAGCTCAAGCAAGGGGCATTCACCGCACTGTCTAAATTTGCAGTCACACTGCTGCCTGCCCCATTGCACTGACGGAGCCAAAAGGTGACCACTTTACCCAGACCTCAAATCAAGTTCTCGACAATGATGCTCACCTTTTGCCACTCAGCTATGGCTACGGCACCTTTGCCATTTGCGCGCGGGGTCACCACATTCAATGATGAGAAACAGCGTTCGAAGGAATACCAAATGGCCCTCTGGCATTCGGCATTGTGGACTCAATACAGAAGAGCTGCCGTGGAGACTCATTCAGAGGAAATCTCTCAATCATTTTTTTTTCTTGAGCCGAGTCAAACCATTGTCAAACATGTGCTATATGTAACATGTTCGTGACAGTGTAAACATATCAACTGACACGCAGACCGATGCCATTTAAAAAACTACGCACGCCTAGCGTAGTCCTGAAGGAGTTGTATGTCAGCTGGTGTTCAGACATCGCCGAGAAGACTTTCACAGTCTCTCTGTCCACAACCAATCACGGTGAAAAGTGCTCTGGAAGCGAGAGAAATGTTCGCCGAGAGACGTGCCGAGCAAGGGATTTTTTTTTGTTTGTTTGCGCGCGTGCACCATGCTTTCGCCTTCCCGGGCCAGCGTGTCGTGAGCGGTTGTCAGCGTCTCGTAGAACGGGCATTGCGAGTCCCCTGATGACGAACGCATTGACCGTCAAAGCCGCCCCAGTGGCGAGATGCTGGACGCACCCCGCTCAATTGCGAGGGTACCCGGCGCCCTTTTTTTTCTGCCCGCCGTGACACGACGGGTGTCACGCTCTGACTCGAGCGCGCCGCACGCACGCAAAGTGTCGACGCGCTTCACCTACGGACAGCGAGACCCAAACGGAGCCCCCCCCACCCCCACCACCCCCGGGACTCGCATCGCGATGCGTGCTCGGGGGCTGCGCGGAGGGCGACGCATCGCGCAGGTGTTTCTGATGCTGAAAATAATGGCAGAGGAAGACAAAAAAATCACACGCTTTATCCCAACAGCGTAAATACCAAGCGCTGACTGAGATGAATTTCCTTCTTACTGAGCCTCACAAGCTCGCACACAAATGGGTTCCGTGCCCATGTGCAAAGGCAATTGGTTTTTATTCCTTATATTTTTAATCAAGGCACTGTGCACTTTGAGCATCAATAGAAATAGTATAAACGACTGGAATGATAGTTATTTATTCATCACTTTAAGCAATAAGGCCCTTGTTTTGACAGGAAAAACTCGAGGGTGTTTTTAGGAGGGCCGCACATTGGCTTGCTTGGTCAGTTCCATGTTATGAGCATCTGGTACATAGTGGGAAACTGGATTATCTGAAAAAACCCCACACATATGCTGGGGGTAAACACTCCAAGCTCCATACAGATAGATTAAAATATCCTTTGCTCCACTGCTATCTCTTCCATAACTCACACTCGGGCAATTTGCATGCAGTTTTCCATCCAAATACGAGTCAGGCACCAAACCTGCTTCACTCCCAAGATCGGATGAGATCATGTGCATTCAGGGTGATTTGGTCATACACTGAGTAGGTCACCTTGAATAAGCTACTTCCCACAAACCCTGTATATAATGTTACCTGTCTTGGCCACGTGCAATGTAACAGCTGCACTTCTTTGTGTGTACACTTTATATTTAGCATGCAAGGCATTTTTGTTAAGCAGGTGATGTCACGACCTTAACACGGTTAAGGTCGAAGATGCAGGGATACGGTGACTTTTTAATTCATGTACAAATTTGCTATCGTGGTGCATTAAGGTGAATCACCGGGTATACAGACAGCCTATTAACCCACAAGATTGCCACCTTCTTACTAATAAGGTCTAGTTTTAATCAAACACACTAGTTGTACGCTCAGGCAATTAATCCACAGATGTGATGAGTAATTTGCCACGTTTTTACATACCGTGAAACACCAATTAGAAGCACTAACATTTAATGCTTATATTATGACATAGTAATCAGACTACCAGAAGGTCCATACCAGGTCAAACCACTCTAGGCTAACTCACATACTGCTAATTAAGAATCCTGTACTGATCCTGTGCTTGCTTGTGCTTGTGTCATATAAGTGAAGCATAACATAAACATAAAGCACTAAATCAAGGTGGTTGGGTGGCTAAGAGGTCAGAGCAGGATGTCAACCGACACCGATGAGGCCCTGGGTTCATATACAGGTAGCCATCTTACATTCTACGACAGCTATCAAATGTAGTGATTTGACGGTCTAACATCACCAATGACTGCACCAAAAAATAACGTTAGATTCCAACTTGGAGTATAACATATACAGTAAAACCTTGAATTGCGAGTAACTTGGTCTGCGAGTGTTTTGCAAGATGAGCAAAAATGTTAAATATTAATTTGACAAACGAGCGACGTCTTGCAATACGAGTAGTACCGTATACGCTTTGTCTGCCGAGCGTCACGTGATCACAACTGATACACGAGTGCTTTGATATACGAGTGCTTTGGATTACAAACACGTTTCCGGAACGAATTACGCTCGCAATCCAAGGCTTTACTGTATATACCATACTCAGTGATTCTTTCGGTAAAGTCACGTATGTAGAAATAAAATAAAATAAAAATAAATCACGCCGTTTCAATCGCAACACAAGCAATCGTCATCAGGTGGAAAGATAGAGCAGTGGAACTGCTGAACAAGAAAGGGCTGTAGAGGTGGGGGGAAGGGAAGGGGCGGAGAGAAGGACCAAAACAGGCGACAAATCGTGGAAAACAACGGGGAAACGAAAACGGAGACACCAACCACGGCAAACGAAAACGAAGCAAAATGACAACACGTAGAGATACATACGCAGAGAAGACAACACAGGGAAAGATGTTTCGAAAGGAATTCTAAGCACAACCTCCCCGTAGAGGTGGATTCATCTCGAATTGAAGCTTTCGTGACTGCAGAAATAACTATACTCATTGGTTGTTTCGGTAAAGTCACATATGTGTTGCGATCGAAACGTCGTGATTTATTTTTTTATTTTTGTTTGTGATTTATTAATTTTTTTTATTTTATTTCTACATACGTGATTTTACGGAAAAAACCAATGAGTGTAGTATTTTCTGCAGGCACGAAAGCTTCAATTCTAGATATATATACCATTATGACTGCCATGGGATAATAATTTAGCATGGGAAAGGATTACAAAAGGTAAAACATCTCAGAACAAGCTCTTTAAATTATGCTTTTGTGGGCCATTCTCTTTCACAAATGCATGCAATGCTCTGCGAGAGTTCCATAGGGGTACCTAATGTCATGATGTGATGCCGGTAGCACAAGTTGAACAACGGGCAGCAAAAAAACCCACGAATATTGACAGAATCCCCCCAAAAATTGAATCAAGATTAAAAAAAACCAACCTGGATAAAATCTGGTGAGACCTGTGGCACTTCCAAACACCTGCCACAGCAGAGTGGGGTCCTCTTCCTTGTTCAGCTTGAACACCTCATCGAGCCCCGCCGTCCAGTTCAGCTCGTTCAGAATGATCGTGGCTGCAAACAAAAAAAATAAATGTGAATGCGTCAGGCCATGGGTCACTGACAAGGTTGTCGAGGCCTCCCCTGGGGGGGGGCACCGCTGATGGAGATTTCAGTCGCATCAAATGCCTTGCTGCTCCGCCGACTGCCTCCATGCATCACTCGGAGGGGGTCGTCACAAATGTCACACGTTCTTCCTTACAGGCCGCAAATGGTTTACCCCCCCCCCCCACCCCCCCTTCTTTGCAGAACGTACATTTCCATCTGGAAACGCTTCGCGTGCTTCTCTGAACACCCCATTTGAAGCGTGGTCCTGGTGGCAAACCGACACTCCCCATGCTGCCGGAGATAAAGTTGTGGCTGAGCAGAAGCGGATCTAGGCAGGAGGGTGCTGTGCAGGGCGACAGCGCCACTTCAAAAAACACCGATCGCAAAAAAAAAAACCTCGCTGTTTCCGCCGCTAATTACAGGCGACACACGGCTCAGTCAGAACTGCCACAGGGCACACGTGTGTAAATACTGATTAAGAAGCATTGGGTTTACACGGAGACACCCCACTGTGTGGTAACTTAACATTGCTTTGAAAAGAAGGGAAAAAAAACACATTGATGAATAACAATAACACAAACTACAAATTGTGAAAGTTGAGCGTGCATTAAAACCCATTGATGTAGGGCGGCAGCGTTCATATATATTTTTTTATAATTAAAATGCATCACGACATATTTTGGACCTTTTATTGTTTGTATTTACCACATTAACTTATTGAGTAAACAGTTGATATCAAGTACTTTAACAGCTAACAGGCGCTTGCAGTGAAGGGTGCTTATTTAACACAAATGGACCTCTGTAGACCTTCGTAGATACATGATACTACATTTATATCACTCTGAAGTAGCATAGGTGCTAACTGCAAATATATTCTATCCACTCATTTGTCCATTTAAATGTGTGGAACATTAAAAACAACAACTTTTTACGTGACAGCATGCCACATTTTATCCATTGTAAAGATAATTAGTATTACACAACGCCGACAAATGAACCTTGCACAGCTCACTTAAGATTCGTAAATGTTATTTGCGTAACAAAATCAATTTGTGGTTTGTCTGTTTCAAAAACATACAAGTTTTGTAGGTGGCTTGGTGGGTGGCTCAGAGGTCAGAGCGCCAAGGCAGCAATAATGACACCGTGACTACACTGAGTTGATGGCCTCAGCTTGGTCATAAATGACTGCGCAAAAAAAAAACATGCCTTCTTGTGCACAAACTTTGGCTAAATCCTAGTTCTGAGAATGAAAAAGGAATGCCACTTTAATGGTCATGTACTTAATATTTCTCTTTAGCAGGACGTGTGGAAAAGTGCCCCCCCGCCCCCCCCCCCCGATGTAAGAATAGAAAAAAATGCTTGAAGGGATATCAGTCTAATATGTACTATGTGATACAGTAGGATCTGGACATACGCACACATTATACGCACAGTTCTGATATAAGAAACACATCCTTACATAATAATGGTACAAACACACTATGGATACAAGCATACCGGGCCTTGTTCCCAAGGGGTGAGCTTATGTATATCTGGTTACTACTGTGCCTGCTTCCACGCCCCGTTCTCTAGAGTTTCAAATGGAGCCTTCGTCTTAGGATATGACGCCGATAGCACAAGTGGAATAAACATGGGGAGGGGGCGGGGGAAGTCTAAAGATACAAAAAATAAATACAAGCCTCACGCCAGAGATGAGCTTTCTATTAAAACCTGATCATGCTGGAAGTAATCTACAGCGATATACGTCATGTACAATTGTCATCATTTTGCTCGCTTTTCAACATATCAGTAGTTTGTTGAAACACCAAATCAAATGGCATATTTTCCTACGTTGCAACTTGATCTGATTGACTTTTTCAGGTGGTGGAGGGTAAAGCTGCATTATACCTTCATGATGATTTTTCCCAAAATAAAATACATGTGAATAATCTGACAGGACCCAAGACATTCACAGGCATGTTGTTTCCATGAAAAAAAATGCTTTATACCTTGGATCGTATTACTTTATTTAATTTGTGCATGGTGTACATCAATGACTAGACGACAGTGCACTACATTACCAGTATATATATTCACTACATTTTTTCAATTAAAATATTAAAATATCGTACAATAGTGGTTGCAATTGTTAAGGCATACTTTGCACTTATAGTGAGCGCTATGGTGGCGAGATGTTGACTACCTCGTCTGATATACAGGAGGTTGTGGGTTCGATCTCGACCCTGATGCCGCCTGTATATTTGGACATTGGATGTTCTCCCCGTGGTCGCGTGGAGTTTTCTCCACGTCCTCCGGTTTTTCCCTCCACATTCAGAATCAAGCGTTTATATAAGATTTGGCTGCTACAAATTTCCACGTGATAATAAGCCACTTCGTTGAGCTATTATTTGTCGCCAGGTCGCTTTTAAAAAATATCTATTAAGCTCAGTGGACCTTACATGGTAAAAAAAATGTTTAATAGTTGTAAAGCATTTCACCCAATCACCTTTCTATTCTTATTCTTGGTTCTTTCGGTAAAGTCACAGAGAAGGGAAACGATAAAATAATAAAAAACAATAAAAATATAAAACAATACAATTCTCACGACGTTTCGACTGCAACACAAGCAATCATCATCAGGCGTGAAAACCACAGCAAGAAAATTTGAAAAAAGTGGCGTTTTTTTTTAAGTTAGCACCACGGAGAGCGATTTGACAATTTGTTCAGATGGACGAGTCCATCTATGTTCGGAAAAGAGGAGGGGGGAGACGAAAATTATGGATGCGGTCTGAAAGCCACCATAAGTGTGAACAATCAATTAAGACCCGAAATGGTTGATCAAAATCCTTCCAATGATTGCTAAGCCAGAATCCATGTTCTCGGTTGAAATTGTCTCTGTGTTTGTATATGTGGATAGCCTCATGAACGAATCTCTCATGGTAGCCAGATGGCTTGCAAAGAACCTCTGTCTTCGAGAAGTCAATGTCATGTGAGCCTACTGAATTATAACAGTGATCTGCCACGGCCGAGGTGTTGGTCCTACCGTGTTTTAGGTCTGCTTTGTGTTCACGAATGCGGTCCGAGACATGTCGTTTGGTTTCTCCAATGTAACTACTACCACAGAGGCAACTTAGTTTGTAGACGCCAGGGTACTGTATGCCCGGAATGACATCTTTTACAGACGGAACCAGATCACGGATTTTATATAATGTGTTGAATCGGACCTGGATCTTGTGTTTATTCAAGATTTTGGAGATATTTTTTGTGATCCCCGCAATGTAGGGTAAAGCGATGGATTTGAAAGGCTCCTCAAGAGGGTCCTTCTTCATGGTTGGAGTGATAGCTTTGCGGATTGTGTAGTCGGAGTAATTATTAGCCTTAAGAGCTTGGTGTACATGCTTGAGTTCACTGGCTATGTGTTCCTGGTCGGATATGCATTGGGCGTTATGGTGCAGAGTCTTGATGAGGGAATTCTTCTGGAATGGATGGTGGTGGGAATCCGGTTTCAGGTAAGCATCCGTATGGGTAGCTTTTCTGTAGACAGAGTGGCTGATTGAACCATCAGGTCTCTTTTTTGTCAGGACATACAAAAAAGGTAGCTTGCCATCTTTTTCGACTTCCATGGTAAATCTGATGGCTGGGTGTATGGAATTTATGTGGTCGAAGAATTGGTCTAGAGCATTCGTGAACACAAAGCAGACCTAAAACACGGAAGGACCAACACCTCGGCCGTGGCAGATCACTGTTATAATTCAGTAGGCTCACATGACATTGACTTCTCCAAGACATAGGTTATTTGCCAGCCATCTGGCTACCATGAGAGATTCGTTCATGAGGCTATCCACATATACAAACACAGAGACGATTTTAATCGAGAAGATGGATTATGGCTTAGCAATCATTGGAAGGATTTGACAAACCATTTCGGGTCTTGATTGTTTACGCTTACGGTGGCTTTCAGACCGCATCCATTATTTTCGTCCCCCCCCCTCCTCTTTTCCGAACATTAATGGACTCGTCCATCTGAACAAACTGTCAAATCGCTCTCCGTGGTGCTAACGTTAAAAATAACCGCCACTTTTTTCAAATGTTCTTGCTGTGGTTTTCACACCTGATGATGATCGCTTGTGTTGCAGTCGAAACATCGTGAGAATTTTATTGTTTTATATATTTTTTTATTTTATTTTATTGTTTCCCTTCTACGTGACTTTACCGAAAGAACCAAGAATATGAATCCCTGCAGTCATGAAAGCTTTAAATCAAAATTATTTCTATTCTTGACCAGTGTTTGGGATCTCAATGGGTACTCAATTCAGATCAAGTGGATCGGTGAGAGATCCTCATAATGATGTTATTGGGACTAGGGTCAATGGATTGGAACAAAAGGTCTCCAGGCACTACACCACTAGTGGATCAAACGCACACAAATGGCTTTTAAAGAACCCGCGTGTGCACACAATGAAAATCCCCTGCGTCATAATTAATTGTCTACGTGTTCAGGGAATTGCAGGTTAAGTGGTTGATAAGAGGCGGAGAAGACACAATCGCACAGCAGCTGGAGCCAGGCTTTAGATCGCAAAGATAAATATGAAGCAGGGTCCAAGGTAGACAGGCTGACAATAGGTACGCAGGGAGTGAAAGGCAGCGAGGCAGACAGACAAATTGTCAGGAAAGGGAGGCACACACGAGGCAGTCAACAAAAAAATTGCAGACAGAGGGACGCATTTGGCTATAAAAAAGAATAATACGGATAAAAAAACCTGCTGGTAACTGCAAAAGAATTTAATATTGGGATGGAATCTTGCAATGCATCACATGGGAAGACAAGGCCTGTAATTGGAGTTAATCGTCCATACCTACTAGCCCAGTGAGCGCTAGGGGAAGACAAGTACTCTTACCTAATTGCACATTAAACATTCATTTCATTTCCTTATAATTCACACGCTGACCTTCTTTCCATAGCAGCCTCTATTGTTTAACTTTTTTTT